ACTTCCTGCCTGATCGTACCTCCATTTCCTGCCTGATCGTACCTCCACTTCCTGCCTGATCGTGCCTTCACTTCCTGCCTGATCGTACCTCCATTTCCTGTCTGATCGTGCCTTCACTTCCTGCCTGATCGTGCCTTAACTTCCTGTCTGATCGTGTTGAGTGATAAGTGTTTCTGATGGTTTCTGCTTCAAAAGCTCCAAACTTGGTGCTGTGGACGAATGAGGAGGTTCAGACATTTCTAACTTTAATGGCCGATGTTAGGCCTCGGCGTGAGCTGGACGGAGCCACAAGACATGAACACATTAACAGAGATCAGAGATGATGTCACAGCATGGCTACCCTCGGACTGATCAGCAGGATAAGATGAAAAAAGTGAAGTCTGATTATAGCCACTCCCCCTCACCAGGTGGAATGGCTCGAACACAACGACCAGCTATGATCCCGCCCACAGAGCGGTAAAACAAGTCACAATGGCAAATCAGAATCAGAATCTGAATCCTTGCACAGAAGCACAATGACATTACATTTCTCGCAGCCTCGCAGGAACCCTGGAACAATCAAGAGTCTCCTTGAAAACCTTTGGCTCAGCTTCAACTAACATTTAGAGCTCAAGAACTTTTAGTCCATCCTCACTACCCTCTGTGATGCCTCCATCTTCCTGATCGACCATCAGAACATCTCAGTAGATCTAACAGGTTCCTAAAAGACCTCTGCAAACCCCTGGTGACCCTTCATCTTCATCTCTGGACTTCAAAGTCTTCAGCAGCTGAACTCGGTTTAGTTGTAGAGACAACATCCTGCGTTTGTTCACCTGTGTCAGGTTCGTCCTCATCAGAGGTGGGAGGGGCTTTGTCCTGTTCAGGTGAGTCTGGCCCCGCCTCTGAAAGTGTCTCAACCAGCTGTCCACCGACGTGAATGTCCACCTGTTGAGACGTTTCACGTTATTTTCTAGACTGGACCAAAACAAGAAGGTTTTATTTTAACGTCTGGGCTGCAGCGGCGGGTGACGTGCATTCCTTCTAACGTGTTCGTGCTGTGTCGCCCGTTCAGACGCCAGAAGTTCAGCTCATTCAGGAGACGCTTGCTGTGAATTTTTATCTTTTTACATTATTAAAAATATTTTCACCTCTCTGCAGTTTTTCTTTAAAAATATTCTTCAGCCAATCATCTGTTTTTATACTCCAGACCAGGGATATTCAACTGGCGGACCACGAGCCTTTTCCGGCCCACGGGTGACTTGAATCCAGCCTACTTCATTAAAAAAAAAATAAAAAAATTAAAAAAATATAAAAAAAATTTTTTGGGGTGGGGGGGGGGGTGTTGTGGGGGGGGGGGGTTGTTCTGGGTTTGGGTTCTGTTTATTGCATTTATGATTCAATGCAATAAAATAAATAAATTTAAAATGTAAGAGATGACGATAAACTTTGGTTTATTTACATAAAGACTTTAAATCGCTGGATGTCCGGCCCCCAAGCTGCTGGTTTTCAGAAACTGTGGCCCCCTGAGCAGTTTCGTTGAAGAGCCCTGCTCTAGACAGCCTGTTGACACGTTTAGCTTGTCTTTCACTAATTTAGCTTTGAGCTAGCCTTTGACACTCGTAGCTTTCAGATAACTTTTTATTGCGTTTGTTTTGTAGCTAGCTATTTGATAGTTTCAATTAGCATTTTGCTACTTTTAGCGTAAATTTGTGGTGGCTCAGTTGGTAGAGCTGCTGCCTCTTAGCAAGAAGGTCACTGGTTCAAATCCCAGATGGGAATCTTTCTAGGTGGAGTTTTAATGTTCTCTCCATGCTGCGTGGGTTTTCTCCCACAGACGCTGATTGGTAACTCTAAACTGTCCCTAGGTGTCTCTGTGATGGACTGAGACCTGTCCAGATGTCCCTGCGATGGACTGAAACCTGTCCAGGGGGTCCCTGTGATGGACTGAGACCTGTCCAGGTGTC